CTTCCCATCCACCCCTTCCTCCATGGTGGAACCATCCCATGGTTCGTTTTCTCCAGCTGCACAAGAGGAAACACTTAGGAACGAGAAAGATTTGGGAAGTGCAGGAAAATGGGATTTTTTGGGAGGAGCAGGGAGACGCGGGCCCCGGCGCGTGCCGGCGCACCCAGAGCCGGCCTGAAAGGATCCGAGTGGAAAATTCCTGTCCGCTGAGCTGGGATTGTGGTCCAACAGGTTTTTTAGTCCCAGCCCCTTGAGTTGTGTCAGTGCAAAAACTCATCCCTAGGGCATTTGTTTGGATCACATGGGCGAGAGTATAAAAATGGGTCCTGCCTGTCCGGGCCAGTTTGCACCTGGAGAGGGAAGGCGGCTGCTACAGCGAAGGGAAGAGCCGCGGGACAGAGCGGGGCCGCTGCGCTCAGGTAACCACGCCTGGAGCAAATTATCCCCCTTTTTCCCCAGGGAGCGGCCATGGGGCATGGGAGGGTGAGGGTTTCTCCGCCGGGAATTAGTGGTGGAACGCAAAGGCTCCGAGGGCTGAGAAATGGGGGAATTTTGCGGATCCCGCCCCAGGAACAGCTCCAAGCGCCCCCCGAGGGTTTTCCCAGCGCCTGGGGGCGATGCAGCCTCTCCGAAGCGGGCGGCATTCGCAGCTCCTCCTTCCCTCACGACCCCTTGGAGCTGTCGAGAATTGGGGTGCGGGACCTGTGGGGTGCCTCGGTGGCTTGCAGGGCAGCGAGGAGGCTGCTGAGGCAGAGCCACGTGCGAGGAGACACCGAGATGTGCAGGCAAAGAGTTTTCCAGCGTGGAATTTCGCCCCTCTCTGGCACGGGAGCGGCGCGGATAAAGCCGGTCGCTCCTCCCTGCTTCAGTCGGGGCTCTTGGTGGTCCCTGGGCATCAGCACGGCCAACACGGAGCTCTGGTCTCACCTCCCTGCCTCAGTGCCCTGCGGCCGCAGCTTCCTTCGCCCTTGGGGCTGGAAGTGGCTCTGGGGAGCCGGGAGGTGTTTCACAAGCCAGGGGTGAGGAAAGAGCGAGATCCTCCAGCCCCGGGGCTCCTGCCTGCTCCTGGTGCTATCAGCCCCATGTCCCTCTTTTCCTGCTGTTCCCTCCCTGCCTCTCCCCGCTGCCATCTCCAGAAGTTTTCTCCCCACTTAGCGCTGCTGCTTCTCCTTCTCTGCTCTCCATCCCTGCTTGGAGACAGTTGCTTGGAGACAAACTCCCGGTTTTTTGATGTTGTAATATTTTTTTTTTATGAGGGAACAGTGGGTGCAAAGGCAGACGATGGCACCGTGGGTTGGGAGCAGAGTGGGGAGGAGAGTCCAGGAAAGATCTGACACCACAGGGAAAGGTCTAAACCAAGCAAAACCAGCGTTTTTCCCTCATTAGGAAATATCCAAGCCCCTTCACGCTCCGTGCCCAGAAACAAGTCCCAGGAGGGTCCCACTGCCTCCCTTCTCACCCCAGGCCCCCACCCAGGCACGGCATGAGAATGAATTCCTTGGCTGGGGGTGGCTTGGAGGGTTATTTTCCTCTTCTGACGAAGAGCCCAGGCTGGTTGGCAGCATTATCCGCCTATTTTCTGCACAGCTCTCCGTAGCAAGAGAAACCAGGAGAAAAAGGGAAACAGAGAAGCCACAGGATGCACCGTTATAAGAGGAACTTTCCCCAAAATAGAAGCTTTTCACAGTTTTTTCACGAGGCGTCAGCAGCTCTTAATGCTGTATGAAACTGTGAATCCTGCCTGGAGCAGCCGGCGGGAGCTTGTCAGTGCTCCAGGCTGCAGCTGCAGCCTTTCCGAGGGTGTGGGGCCGGCTGTGCCCCCCAAAACCTGCCTGGGGTGTGGGGAACAAGCAGCTGGAAGCGCAGCCTCGGCTGTGATTCCGTTCCAGCAGCACTTCCTGCACCCCTCGGGGTGGTAAATCCAGTGTATCCCCAGCTGGAGGGTGCAGAAATCCTGCACGGATGGATCAAGACCTTGAATTTCACCCTAACCTGTTTTTTAGCTGTGAAAGATCCGTCTGGAGAGTCCCAAATGTTCATTAGCTCAGCGCTGGGGCAAAGGGATGCTGGGCTTGTGCAAGGAGTTGCGTTTTACAGGAGCATGTGGCTCCTTCTGGCTTTAAATATTTATAAGCTGAGTGATGAATCCCTGGAGTTCTGCAGCCGTATCGATGGCAGGGTGAGCTGTCGGGTGGCTGATTCCAGGGCTGGGAGATGGCATCCAGCTGGGCCAGAGTATTCCTGCATGCAGGGAATTTCCAGAGCACCCCAATCTCCTGCCTCACAGACAGCCCCTGCTCCTTTGGCAGGGCAGGGGATGGAAGGTGCGAAAATGTTATTTTTTTGCTTGTTTTAGACGTTTCTTTCTGGTATCAGCTGTTTCCTGGGCTCTGCTCCCCACCACTGTGGTGGCACATCCCAATGTAGCCTTTTGTCCCCACTGGTCCCCTGTCAAGGTTGGGTTTTGCCATTTTTGTGAAGTTCTGGTTGAAGATTTCTCCTAGCTCTGGTTGGGTATCGAGCCTGTAAATGCCATTTTTTCCAGAGCTGCCACCTCCCTCCCTGGCTGCTGCTGGGGCTGGGGGGCCCATGGGGTGCTTGGAGCAGCTGTCCTGAGCAAGGAGACCCCTTGTAGCCTCATTCAAGAAGCCAAATGGCAGGATTTGGGATTTTCAGAGAAGCAAAACTGAGGGGTGACCCCTTGCTGCTCTTCCTGGTGAACCCATGGATGGATCCAGCACTATGGTGGGTGCCTGGAACCCAATCCCCGCCAGGAGCCAGGACTCTGCTGGCTTTGCCAGGAGCAAATTCCAGGCTGGACTCTGCTCATGACGTGTGCGGGATCCAGTGACTGAGAAGGAGGGACAGCCCTGTGCCCTGCCTCGCTCCAGAGCCTTGGCCAAAGCCACCATGCCAGGGCACTCGCTGGCCTGCTGGCCACCCCGGGAGCCAGGCACTGCCCGGGGGGCTCAGATCCACAGGGAAGGCTCTTAGCCCAAGGGTGAGGTGCTTGGAGAGGGGGTGGGAGCTGGGAGAGCCTCGCTGGGGCTGAGCAGAGGTTGTCACTGTGGAGCCCTCAGAGCAGGGGATGGGTCTGTGTGCATTCCATGGATTGATTTATTTCTGCTGTTTTGGAGGGTGGCACGAGGAGGGCAGAGCTGGCAGAGAGATATGGGGACAAGGCACAGCTCTGTCCCCACACCTGCACTTGGCCAGCCCAGGACTCGCCTTCCCAAAACCTTTCTGTCCCTGGGAGGTGACACTGAGTGGGGAGGGGGTGGCTTTACGATGTGAGTCCGTGTTTGGGGGGATTTGACAGGCCCCTGTGCCCTCTCCTTGCAGAGTCTGCCAAGAGAAAGCGATGGAAAGCCCAGGCAAGGGCAGCCCTGCCGGGAAGATGACAGCCATGGCTCACAGCCTGTAAGTACCTCCTGCTGCCTCCTCCCAGCCCTGCTCCTGGCACTTTTCCTCCGGCCAATTTCTCCAGGGACTTTGCTCTTTGCTCCCATCCCACCCACGCCACAGCAACGCCTCCGTTCCCTATGGATGAGGTGGAAAACTCCCAGCAGAGCAAGGCAAAGTCAGGGTCCTGGCGCTGGGAGCTTTGGGAATGTGTGGTTCAGGGCTGCCCAGGGTTTTTGGGGTGTCTCCCCATCCCAAATCCACTTTTTCCAGCGAGGGATGCGCTGCCTTGGTCTGTGCCAGCCCTTCAGCCTCTTGCAAGGTGAATGACGCTGGATTTGGGGAGCAGGGTGGGGAGCAGAGCCAAGAAAGCTGCAGTGGTTGCAGAGCATCCAAGGAGCACAAGGAAAATGGGTTTGGATTTGGGTTTCTGCATCCTCTCCCCAGTGAGGCTGGCAGGGTCCTGGCAGCACCTGGGAGGGATGGAAACACCCCAGCTTTAAACTGGGGAGTCATAAATTTTACTGGGGCCGGAGCAATATATGCTCATATCTCGGATATTCCGAGGGCTTCTTCATTCCTGGCTTGGGGGGTGGGGATGGAGGGAGGAGGATGCTTCAGGGTGAAAAGGGGGCTTGGTGTGACCCCCAGAGCTCAGTTTGGGTGCAGAGCTCTTTGCCAGGGAGTCAGGGCGATCATGGAGCCGGACAGATGAATTCCTTAGCAAATTCAAGAGGCTTAAATTGGAGAGATGGGAGCAAGGAGCAAAAGGCCTTATAATTATAGCCGTGCCAGAGATGGTTGTGCTGAGGGAGGGGGATGTCATGGAGTGGCTGTGCAGTGCCATGGGCAGCTGTGCCATTCCATGCTGTGCCATGAGCAGCTGTGCCATTCCATTCCATGCCGTGCCACGGGCAGCTGTGCCATTCCATGCAGTGCCATGGGCAGCAGTGCCATGCCATTCTGTGCCATGCCATGCCATGGGCAGCTGTGCCATTCCATGCCATGCCATGGGCAGCTGTGCCATTCCGTGTCGTGCCATTCCACGCCATGCCACAACGTGGGCTGGCTGAGGAAAAGTCAGCTGAGCCTTGTGTTCCTCCTCCCACGGAGGAGAGGGGCTCTGAGCAGCACTCACGAGCTCCACAGCTGCCCCCGACCCCCTTCCCATGCCCCGTGCCCATCCCGGTGCCTCCATCCTCCCGGGAAACCTTTTCTCCTGGGAAGAGAGCTCCGCAGCCGGAGCGTTTCTCCCGCCAGTGACAATCGTGCTTTTGTTTTGCCTGGCTGCGAGAGGGGCAGGAGGGAATTTGGCTGCCCGGAAAGCTGCCGGGAACCCTTTCTGCCACAATTAAGCACCTGCTACAAGAGAGCAAATAAGCCAAATCATGCGGCTGGCAAACAAGCTTTACGTGTTCCTTCCCCGTGACCCACTCCAAAAAGCAGAAAGCTCCAGGCTAGGCTGCTCGCAGCTCCCGGGGCAGCGATTCCGCAGCTCCGCCGCCGCCTCCCGGTCCCGGCGCGGGCACCGAGGCAGCGCCTGGAGCCGCTTCTTGACGGCTCAAAAGCCAAAAGGGCTTTCCCCTCCCCAAATTAGCGGCTCCATCTCATTCTGCTATGGAGAGACAGATCCCCGTGCTGCGAGTTCGGTGAGGCGGGGGGGCTGCGGAGGGGCTGGGGCGAGGCGAGCGCCGGGCTCTGCGGCGGTGTCAGCCCCGGTTCGGGCTTCCAGCCGGCCTCATCCAAGCGGGAAGGGATCAAGGCCATGCAGGGGGCCGAGCTTAGCGCGGGGATGGGGAGGGAAAGGCGGCTGGATGGCTCGGGAAGGGATGGCGAGGATCACATGATGCGGATATACGGGGTCAGAGCAGCGGGGCTGGCGGCGCCCGGCGCATTCCCAGCAGCCGCGCTGCAAAGATGACTCGGAGTTTTTTTGGGGGTTGTGTTTTTTTGGTTTTTTTTTTAATGCCCTGAGGGTTCAGATTTCGGGGAGCTGCCCTAGGGGTGAAGCGGGGACTGCAATCAGCTCTGTAGAGAACGGTGAAAAGTCAGGACCGCAACTTGTGGCCTTGTGCTTGGAGGAGATGGAGCAGCTTCGCTCCCCCCCAGCCCCGAGAGAAGCCCTGTGAGGGTTTGGGGGGGCTCCGGGGGGGCTGTGGGGCTTCTGAGGGGTCTCCTGCACAAGCAGCACCGCCCATGGCCCAGCTGGGAGCTGGCACCTCCCTGAAATTTGGGGAGAGGTGCTCAGAGGGATTCAGGAGAGGGTGCACCCCTTCCCCAGATCAGGAATGGGGGGCACTGGGGATGCGGG